TTCAACGCAATCTGTCGCTGTCATTCTTGTAGTAGGTTAGCGAACAAAAGTTAGTATGTATCACATTGTATGCAGTAACAATTCAATACGTGCGAGTAAAAAATACACGTAAGTGTGTCATCTTGTTTATTAATATATATGCCCCAATATCTTTTCGGCGCATTTCAGGTGATCGTCTCATATGACCGCCTTGTATAAAATCATCGAGCCATGCAGTACTTAAACGGCGCTCTAGAATATCACGACGCAATAGACTATGAAATCACGACAAAAATTATTTTCAATCTTATCTTTTGAGACCTTAGGTCGAAAACAAAAAGCCATACATCATTTATATTTTTCATATCTATTGGCGACAGCAAATATATCACACATGAATTTAAAGAATAAAGCCCGATATGGGTGGAATTATAAATTGCTTTATTGAATTTTATTAATAAAAAAATAGTTAACAAGATGCAGTTAAGAAATTAACTAATATTATCTTTGCATGTAATTTTTGTCTAATTGAAAGCCGGGTGTCTCATCCAAAAGCTTTAATGCTCGTCTTACTTTCCAACCCTTTATCTCCTCTTCAGTCATCTCGTCAAACATATCTTTCGTGTTTCGCGACATCATCCTCAAATTCGAACTGGACTTTAGGTTTATTCAAAAATAGGTCCAGACTCTCCATCCCATTTTCCGATGCTTCTCCATGTTAATTCCCAAATGACGAAAGCAGTTAATTCTCGTTCCAATAGGAAAGTTAGGGTCAATGGTTGTAGTAGTTGCGGTAAAAGTGAGATCTTCGGTAAGTGTCCCACTTATGCTGTATGGTTGACATTCAAAAGGTCTTAGACTATGGATCGAAAAAGAGATATTGTTACCTAAATAATTCGTTTAATCACACGACCTTGTAAATCTTTTTGATCCTCCGCATGTTGATTTTCGGTTCGTTTATCCCACGCGAATTGTTCATCGAAATCCTTATTTGTTGAATTCACTGTACTGTGATAACACTTGTAGCTCGACGAAAATTCAAGTGGTTAAGTAACTCTTCCAAATGCGTTTGGTTCATACTTGAGAGAGAGACTTTTGCTTTGTTCGTTGCCTGAAAAAACTTAGAAAAAATTACCCAGAAAAAGGCATTTACCTATCGAGAATATTAGCGAATTGTTGAGTTGTTTCAGTAAACGTGTCAATCGACCGCTTATATAATGATTCTCCTTCTGTAATTTCCAAAGGTGCCTCCGAATAAATATAAGCACAAAGTTAATAAATTACATAAACGTCGCCTTACTATTTGATTACCTTTTTTACACCTCCATTCATTAACTTTTTCATTATTCGTCTATTTTTGTTAATGCTTGAAAAGATAATAAATTCACTTACTGGAAGGAGCAGGAGAGATAGGCAACTCAACAATTATGTGAATATTATTTTTGTTGGGTTGTGTGGTAAAAATGTCTCCAACTTTGTTAGGATGAAAAAACTCCCGTCCCTGCAACACATTCGCAATATTTACGGAGGTTTGGGGAGTTGAAAGGTATATTGACTACCCATATTTTAAGTTGCCACGATGCAAAATTATTGAGATAGGGCTCGCTCTCTTTCTTAATTAACTGCGAAGTCAGCAATATTCTTGTGATTTTCTACCATAACTGAGAAAAAAGAACTTGAAGGTTCACCGTGGACCAAACAGAAAAGTGTGGTCTCAGTTCTAGTAACAGTGGACAGGCTAGTACAGTAGGCAAAGTCTTAGGCGGTCTTCCTCTTGTCTTAGTCATAAGTTTAATATGGAAATACAGGTCATACCAATCCAATGTCTATCAAATTTAACATGTTTAGTTTAACAAGTCTACCAAAAACTAGAACGTGTGAAATAAAGGTCGTGTTTAGCCTTTATTCACAACCACTTTTTAAGCACCAGGTGAATTTAATTATAACAAGTCAATTTATTTGATTATTATCACATTATCACATTAATGCAATCTTACAATATTATGATACATTGCGATTATATTGATATTTGCAATTAATAACAATTGTATAATATTCAAAACTTCTTTTTTTTTTGTCTTATTTCTTTCTTTCTTTTGCTCATTATAATTATAATATTGATAACATTATTAACTAAAGTTACTTATTACATTATAAGAAATATAGGTGGATAAACAATCGAATAACTATTGCTTCCAAACAGGCATGCCAAGCAACAAACTCACTTTCCATCTCTACCAGCTTCAGGAACAGATCCTTCACAAGCAGTTAAGCAATCACCGAATCGGACCCTCAAACTCGCTCCACTCCACCAAGTGTCCCATTGGATCCGTTCACAGCAGCAAACCACCAGTGTAGAGAAAAAGGGGAGAGTAAGGAAAAGAAAAAGAAAAAGGGGCTAGTTTATAACGTAAAGCAAATGCGATACTTACCTTATACTTACTCAAAACCTTCTACCCGTCATCTAAAAGCTGTGTAAAAAAAAGAAAGGAGATGTGATAGTGTTCCGAGCATCCCCCGTGACCCACTTATCAGAGGACCCACTTCACCGCAGGTGAGAGTGGTGAGTAGAGAGGGGCGTCACCAGTAACTGCCCGCTGCCCGATCCAGAACCGCTCCCGCCCACCAGTCGAGACAAAAGAGAACAGCCACCTAGTTAACCGGTTTAAGAGCAAGTCTGTTAGTAAGCGATTATTTATCCACCAATCTATGTCTATTTTAAAGCCAACCCCTTCTTTACTTCCTCACAATGAGTATAGACCAAGATCATAGTGTCGGGAAACCGTTTCGAAATCGAGGCGGTGAATTCGTGTGTAATTCCTAAATAGTATCAATAGATATAATAATAAATTTTTGGGTTATTTTGCATATTTGTATGTGTATGCTAGCATAGAGGCGGAATATTTGTACTCTTTCGTCGGCTATGTGGTCGATAAACCGAGTCGTCGTTTCGAATACTTGTTCGAGAGTTGTAGAAACTGTTGTACGTGCGTAATATGGAGGGCGGCAAAGGCTTATTGCGTTGTATATTTTACTTTGGAGAAGTTGTTATGAAGCGATACGTGCGCAACGGAGAGATATATGAGTAACGCGTGTTCAAACTCTTTTATCGGTTACGTAGTTGATAAACCGTGTCGTTGAATACTTGTCATGTGGAGTGGCGGCAAATGTTTGTTGCATTGTATATTTAGCTTTTCGATAACATTGTATTTGCGCTTTGGAAGAGGAGAGAGGTTGTTGCGAAGCGATACTGGCGACCCGCGTGACCATTGTACATAACCTCGATGCCCCGGGACTGGTAACCTTCCAGCCGACATTGCTTCAACAGTCACGTCTGTGAAAAGTGGAGGGGTAGCGTTTGGGTATATGTGTGTTTATATGAGTAAACGCGTGTTTAAACTCTTTCATCAATTATATGATCGATAACCGTGCCGTTGTTTCGTATGTGTGTACGGCGGCAATATGCGCAATGGAGAGTAGCGTTTGGTGTATATGTGTTTATACGCGTTCGAGGTCGATATGTCGGTGTCGCTGTTTAAAAATTTGGTTTGTGAGTTGTAGCAAAGTGTCGTATGTGCATAATATGGAGCAGTAAAGGCGTTGTTCGTTGTATTCGTTGTATTTGCGCTTTGGAGGAGAAGAGGTTGTTGTGAGGCGATACATGTGCAATGGAGAGAAGGTCTGGGTATATATATGTGTATGAGTAGACGCGTGTTCGCGTGTTAGATGGGAAGATGACACATAATGGTACTACTTGATATAACCTTATAAGTAGAAATGTCGTTATCTATGCAATAAGGAGCGTGAGAGTCTGACTGTCGACCAATAGTAAAGCATAAACGGATATTGATATATTGTCTAGCGTAACACATATTGAGACTGGCACGATTGTTTCCGTAAATAAGGACAATAGAATCAGCGTAACATTCCGTAGCACACGCAGTAAAATAATTTTCACTGGTTAAAGAGTTCGATAAGCCACTGATCTCCATGATAGTAATGATATCGATAACAAGCAATATAATAAATAGTCACAAGACTTAAATTCTCATGAAAACATGATGATATTGTGCATCGAGAAAAAAAAAGTTTATATGCATATACAGTATTATTCGCGAAGTAATCTGAGTTTCAAATTTCATCTTTTATTGGTTTGGTCACGGGGGAGGGGCGATAATAATAATAATTGTGACGCGTAAACCACCTTTCCAAAACACATCAAAATGTCACTTTATACCGGTACTGCAAACACCAGTAGCTTTAGGTCAAGAACAAGTGCACGCTCTGTTGCCACTGCGTAAGTAAACATGTGCAATTGTTACTCCTTGTGACGCAAAATTACTGTAATTGTTAATCGTATCAAAATGTCACTTTACCAGTTTCAGTAGTGTTAGTTCAACCAGGTCAAGTACAAGTGCACGCTCTGTCGCCACTGCCTAAGTAAATACAGTCTAATCTGGTTATAACGAATTCTGCGGGACTGGAAAAATCTTCCTTATAACCAGAAATTCCTTATAACCAAGGTTTCTTTTTGTAGCAAAGATTATAATTATTTACTGATTGGTTCGGAGACAATCTTCATTATAAACAGATATTCGTTATAACCAGATTAGACTGTATGTGCAATTGTTACTCCCTATTTTCTTTTCGCTAACTTTCATATTCCGGAAATATTCTTAGGTGTAGTACTGATGCGGTTCCAGAAAGTCCAGAAAGAATGCTAGACTGCAACTATTATCGAAACTTGTGGTGGGATAAGGGAGAATTTAATGAAAAAGCGAGATGGGATGAAGTAACGTAAGTTTACTGTTTGATGTTGGTATTTTTTAACCATTTGCTGATGTAAATTGTTTGTATTAAGCCTACCGTATGTACTTGCTACGGGAATCACCATAGAGGATTATGAAGAACGTGTAGAAAAATTTAGCATTCATAGATGCTGGGAATGGTCGAATGGAAAAGTAATAATCTATGAACTTCCTTCTATGCCACACGAAGTTGTTATTGGTGCAGTTACTAGGATGTTAATGTACCAATGCCATGCCGTTGCTTTTACCAATGCTGAGATTGATGGTTTTGGTGGGACTAGTAAGTATTAATGTTACAACATATTGTTCCGCCTATGCGTACATCGTATTAAATTTTTTTAAAGGAACCCGTGACATAAACCGTGGAAAAGAAGCCGATGCATCGTTTCGTCCGATGAAACCAGCCATAACCGCACCATATGGAAGCGATGGACATGTAAGTTCCGTTGGTTTTGAATTTTTTAAAGCCAGTAACTTTATATACTTTTTTATTTAGGATTGTCCTTGGCCAAATTTGGTCGTGGAAGTAGCCTATTCTGAAACATTAAATCACGCCAAAGAAGCTTTAAAATATTGGCTAAGTCCTGGTCGCGCCCACGATTGTATTATTGTAAAAATTGATCCTGTCTCCCAAGGCCAAATACCAGTCCGTATGAGGGTAGGCTATATTTATACAGTGTAGCCCATCATATTTATTGGTATAATTCCTAATTCATCTTAAACTTAGGCTTGGCATTATTGCATAGAAGATAGAAGGACAATCAATACAATTCCACATAGAACTATGGTAATGTTAAACTATATAGCAATTCGTTTTTCTGTTAAAATCTCTAAAGTATGTATAAATGATTACTAGTTTGAATTCGGTACACAGGATGGCACAGGAGCTCCATTAAATATTTCGCAAGGTCAATGCATTATTAACATATCATTACGCTGTCTTTACCATGATTTGATGCCTCCTGCCCAAATCCCTCAAACCCTTAATGATCCCATTCAACTGGACTTTTACTTTGCTCAACGTGCAATCGCTCGAGCGTATATGCATAACATTCATTAGGACTACTTCATATTGTAGCCTCGGCTTTAACATTTATTATGCTGATTGAATCTGTTTGGATTTATGTTTTAATCACTAAGCTTTTTTTTACCTACTGCTAAATCCTGTTATTAATAACTGGAAAATGTGTTGTGCTATGCTACTTCGAAATTCTTCATTCATATATTTTTATCGCAAATCTATGATATGTAAAAAATGTAATTAATTTTTCTGTGAAAGTGTAAGACCTAGGGTCAGTTATGTGATTTTTTTCGCTCTGGCTTCGAGCACGTTTAAAATTTCAAGTTATTTAATGAGATCCAATTCTCAAAGATGCACTATAAATGGGTCCAAGCATATCTTAGTGCAATCCGGTTCTTTTCCCATAACAGATAACAAATTTATTATATATCATCAAAACCGCACCAATTTAATAATTATTAGAAAGCAGGAAAGATATAAATAATAACAAGTTTTATTAAAGTTAAAAAAACAATTTGCTTATTGTTGTTTTCAATAACTTACTAGATTCTACTCATTGATAAATATATATCAAATGCAATTTTAATTTAATCAATTTCCTATTACATTATTGTTATTGAGATCACTTGTCTTGTTCGGTATTGCCGTCCTTGTTATTTTTATGAAGAATGCGATAGACTCTTCCCCTTACTCTCAATGTATAGTCTTTCATTTTTAGATTCGAGGTGTCCATTTTGTACGTCTTCTGGAAGTTTATTATCTTATTGTAAGGTAGTAATACAGAAATAATGGTGTCGTTCCGACTATCACGGGAGAGCGGATAATAATCGGCACTAGGAATTTAGCTACTTTCTCACGGAGCGTGGCTTCTCCTACTAATAGTTAAACATCTGTGACCTTTACACTAGGATTTTCTTACGTACGACTCACTGCGTCGATAATTGCAGTAATCTAGTAGATGAAAATATAATATCTGTTGTGTGTGATTTTTGACAAGTAGACCTTTCTATTTGCCAGTTCCAGTAATTTTGTTTAAATATATGCCATTTTTCAGAGACATCGATGTCATTCAACATCCATCTGGACTTGAGGAGTACATGATTTCATTCATTTCGCGTGACCACAGTTATTCTCTATAACACCATCGGAAATCAGGGAGAAAATATACTAATACGTTGGTAAGCAAATTAAATTTTTATATTGCCCAAAATGAAATACTTTTCTTACCACATCGAACGGTCTTTTCGCTAGAAGATTTCTCTTTGAATATACTTTCTGTTTGAGTTGAAGCACTTCCTGTTGCTAGCATTTGTTGCTTTTTCGAATGCGATAAGGACGTTATTAATCCTTACCGATCGTTCTTTTGCATCATTAACGTTCTATGAGTAAAGTGAATATCAAAGTTAGTTGAAAGAGCATTCCTTGACTCTCTATTCCCATCGTTATATACCTTTGCAACAAATTTTTGGCTTGGCTTTCTCGACATTATTTTTTTTCAAATCTGATGTTTCTTGTGTGAACAATCCACGTTTCAGACTTATACATTTCTTCTTTGTTTTAGTTCTCCAATGCTTAATGAAAAAAAAAAAAAAGAATAAAGAATTAAAAACATTCGCAAGACTCATTGGGTCGAACGAGGAGTTCTTTACTGTGGACTAGGAATGTCACTGGAACGAACAATTCCCAGCTTACGCTTGAAATATGAATGGAGCGAGCAGTTCCAGCTTCGAAATGAGTTTACTTGCGAAAATAATGTTCTTACCTTCCAATGATCTGCTAAAGACAGCGTTCAGCTTTACAACTTTTTATAGGTAGCGTTACCAATCTTCTTGCTCGATAGTGTTCAACTAGGTCCAATTTTCAGTTAGAATGGGGTTAAGTTCACGCGTTTGGAGGGGACAGACGAGGCTAAATGACGCGAGACAAGACTCACCTGACTATTATTATGGTAGGAGTATATCGACCATTGTGGCGCTAACGATTTTTAACACCCGAAATTGGGTGTGGCGTCCATATTTAGTGGCAACGGATTCTCTCGCGTCTTCAATGACATAGCCTGTCCCTTCAGTCGTTCTACTTGTGAGTGATGTTTCAAGAGAACATACCATCGTTCTCTTCTTGCACTGGCAAGCGCAAGAATCCTTTCGGAGACTCTTCTGTTGTCACTCAGAAGAACCCACGCTCAGGAATGGAAGTCTTTGGTGAGCCTGCAAAATCATAGATGTTTGACTGTTTAGTGTTGTCTCGTATTACTAAGCAATTATATGTTCTAGAGTATACCAAGCTGTTACTAATGGCTGGCCAACAAAAATTGCATCGCGAAGAAAAGCTAAAGAAGCTGGGACAAAACCCACAATCCCTGCTTCCTAAATGCCATACTTCGTCATCTGTCGAGCATTGTTCATTCTGCGATCGTAATGTCTGCATACAATGTCAGGTGTCCTGCGAACGATGCCAGGAAATCTTTTGCAGCTATTGTTCTACGATAAAGTATCCTTCAGATATTGACTAGACGATACTAATATGGAATGTATAGCTGGTTTTATTATCCTTAACCCGTATAATTACAGTTACGACCAACGAGAAGAGAGAAAATTCTGCTTAGGCTGTATTGATCATATTTGATTATGAGATTACGGATGAATAGCAAAGAAATATACCACTGCTGATGTCTTTATCCTCACAAATAAAATGAAACGATAACATGGCTAATGCATCTCTGCGTCATCAACAAGATATTGATGTTTGGCAAAGGCATTTAATATACAATCAGACTCTGGGAGAGTTCATACGGGAGAGAGGCTGGATAGATTTACCGCTTCCGCCAATATATAAATCCGAGACCCGGAATTGACAAGTGTGAATGGAATAAAACCAAAGTAATTGCTTCGGACTACTTTTATCCTGTATCCGGAGTAGCTGACCGAATTATTCCATACCTTACAAACTACTTCTCTTCTATTTACGACTAATAGCAAATCAGACATAATAATCGTCAAAATGAGATTCCATATTTACCGATGCTTAAAAATGGCGTTTCATTATTTTCAATAAACCCATCAATATTAGATGAAAACACACACGCACTGTAACATAAGTCAAGTTATAGTCTATAGTTTTCGATCACTCAGTAGCAGTTTAAAATTTCACTGTCGGTAGCTCTGTTTTTCTATTTTGCTTTCATCATCTTATTTTTTGATCAACAGTATGAGCTGCTGGTATATTCTTATTCTCCATTGATTCTTGTGTTAGTGATTTGGATCGGTTCTCTGACGGCGCTATTCGCGGTTTCTACATCAACCCAACTCTGCAAGTGACCAAACGTATAACCGTGTGATCGTTCAAGTAAATCTAGTTTGCTGACCTTAACGTCTCTAATTGTGATGCGATTAACCATAGTAATAGCGCAAACTACATGGTTAAATATTCGATTAGTTGAAACTTAGAGAAACTTAGCCACGGACAGTAGAAATTATTGTAAAGGGCTGCAAACAGTTTAAAACTATTGGATTTGCTTTCTGGGAAAATACCAATGCCATCATCGAGTTGAATAAAGAGATACAACCTACCTCTTAAGCTAATGATGACGGATTTTTATAATGAAATGAATGAAGATGAAGAAACAATGGGCAAGGTCGTCACATAATTTCGAAGTATATTTATAAAAAGGATACGTATCAGACCACAGATAAGAACGCGTCTCAAATACTGTTAAACATGTCTCCAATGTCAGCATCATCAAGTTTTTCTCCATTTATGATATATTTAATATGTAGCATACGTGTATTATTCGTAACCCTTCGTGCAACGCTTTCATTTTCTGTATATTGTATTGTGATCACATTTTCGAGGATCACTTAATTATTGGCCATAAATATGCAGTGTTACGAAGCCGCCTTTTCGCCATGAAACCCGTTATATCGATTTTCACTGCGTATAGTCTTTTTGGCAATACGCGATGCTATTGTAAAACTAGGACGCAATTTTTAAAATATAATGTATTTATTTAATTTTAGATCTTACCATTGACTATTTGGCTTATTACAATAAAGTATTAGCATGTCATTATTACAATTATCGAATACTTAACAAGAGTCACGTTGATTGTGGCTTGATATTGTTGTACACGTTACATCATTATAAAAAAAAAGCTTACACGCTCACACACATTTCATCACAATGTCTAGTTTAGAAGAACTCACAAAAAGGCGTATAAAAAAGAAGCTGCAACGTGAACGACTGCGCCCGCCGCCATTAGTTCCGGAATTAACTTTCCGGCTTCCGTTCCTGCTACCTCTCCCCCAACCGAGGCTGTATCTAGAGCGATATAATCAGCAGTTGCAACGGCTGCAGTTACAACAACGTCAACAGCAGGAACAAGAAAACTTGCTGCAAATGCGGTTGAAACAAAAACAGATACAAATCAGTCAAGTGAAGCAGCGACGGATAATGTTGCGCCTGGAGCTGGATTCGCAAAATTATCATTTAAATCGAGGTCAATTGCGGGTCCAGCAGTTACAGGAACAACTGCAGCTGCTACAAAACAGGCGACAACATTGTCAGCAACAGCTGAACCAGAGATGGTGGCGTCGATGGTGGAAACTATGGCGTGAGCGTTGAGTGAGTATTATGTAAACTTAAGTACTTTCAATATCTACGACTGCTCTAGCCCGCCGTATTTACTATAACGAGGATGAAAAATACAAAAGTGTTGGACAAGGATTGTGACTGTAACTATACTTGTACTAAAATGCGGAATTTAATTTCCATATAGTAAACGTCGAGATATCTTGAACGTCACTATATAGTGCAAAGATGTAATATCATCCCCTAACACAACCAGCGAACCGATAAAGATGCGCTGGGAAATAATTTCCAATCCCAAGACAAACTTTCTTGGGAGGAAGCGTAATTAAATATAAAGTACAAAGTCTTTGATCTTTATATTTAATTGTTCAGTAGGGTAAGAATGTGAAAGATGTAAATGCCATCTATGAAATGGTTTTTCAATAAAAAAAACTCATTGTCAAAACTTAGACAAGGAAATCGCCGCAATGCCAAAACTAGCCTTCTCAATATGCACACTTCCATTATATGATACATGGTTAAAGTGGCTGTCCTCCGTTGCTTGATAGAGGTGTCACAGGATACGTGAAGTGGCAAAGAAGAGTTACGCATACAAAAACAATCAACCGGTGATCGACTATAAAATCGGCTTGATTGGCACGCATTCAACGATTCTATCGATGAACAATGAAATGAACCAACGTTCAGAGAAATTAATACAATTGATGACTCAACTTGACATCACCTGGTTAGCTTTGATACTCAAAATTTCAAAATACAGTATTAAGTGAGTTGCGGGAGTTCCTTTCCTTAAGTCCTAAAGGCATAATCATATTAATTAATCAACTTGTGTGATCCAGTTTCTATGTCGTTTCCTACGTCGCGATTGCTTTATGATCTTGGTTTATGTATTGTGACACCTTCTATATAATTCACCTTATAAACTTGGAAAAACATTAGTATTAGACTCTCTCCACTAATATTCCGATGAGCGTCCAAATATACCGCCAGAAAAGAATGCAGACGATAATTCGATGGTAGGTTAAATTAATGCAAATACATGAAAACCCGTTATAAATAACTATATCAATAATTAAAGATAAAGATTCAAGAAGAACCATATTCCTCCAGCCAAGTCTAACATAATAATAATAATTTTCATACGAGCACGGTTGTGTAACATATATTCGACCACTTATGTGAATAGAATGTGACCTTGGTATTAATTCCAATTGACTGCCAGTGCTGTTATGCTGGATAATCTCTCCCACCCGAAGATATGCGTGCCTCAAAGACTGATTTCAAGAAGCTACACCGAATCTTATAGGGGACTGAGGTTGGACTCCAGGTTAAGAGGCATTCGAACTAGACTAAATCATATATTCTGAATTGTCACCATTGGACGTATTTCAGTCACATGACACAGATCGTTCAGACTTTCAAACCAGAAGACAATTAACACATTCGAGCAACAAAAGCAGAAAGAATACACGAGACAAGATGGTATTGTCCTCTTTATATTTGTAACCATGTTCGCTGCCCCCACTCTAATCCAAACCGCGCTTTATCATGCAGACAAGCACACCATCAAGCACACAGAAAAAAGTAGTGGCACGAAGTGAATGGGAAAAAAAGTTATCTGAAGTAGAAGTAAACAAAAGGTGAGTCTAAAGTCTGTTGTAAAGGATTTCTCTGTCCTCGTGATGACTTTGCAAGTGGGAATCTCACAGAATGTTTAATGACGAGAAGCCTTTTTGGTTCTTGCTTCTGAAATGAGGAAAATAAAAAATATAAAGAAAAGAAAGCCTGATTTTTGGAGCAGTATTAATACTATATTGTTTTTATCCAACAGAGATCTGAATAAGCTCGTTATGAATTATCTTGTAATTGAGGGTTATAAGGATGCAGCAGAAAAGTTTAGTCAAGAGTGCGGATTACAGTTGGACACAGATTTGGAATCAATACAAGATAGAGAGCTTATTCTTAATGCAATTCAAAATGGCAACGTTGAAGAGGCAATCGAACGAGTGAACGATCTTAACCCAGAGGTAATTTCTGTAAAAGTTGCCCCCCGTTAATGCTGACAATGATTAAACTTTTTTCATGCACCACGCTAAGACATCTTGTTGTCGATGCTGATATCCAATCACCAACTTCAGTCTTCAATATGAGTCACAAGGAACTCGTATATGTTATTAGAGTTATATATCCTACGACTCTACTGACGACTTTTATTATAATTTGATGAATATAGATACTCGATACACACCCAAAACTGTACTTTCATCTTCAGCAACAACAATTAATTGAATATATTCGCCAAGGAAAAATAGCAAGGGCACTCGAGTTTGCTCAGGAAGAGCTTGCTCCTCGCGGGGAAGATAATGTAAGATGGAGTCTATCAGATAATATGATAATATGAGATTACCTATTTGTTATATATTGATGGCATATCTGTCGTTATTTCTTTTTGACTTTTGCACCCCCCCCCCTTCCCCCCTCTCGATGCCGATTAGCCTGAATTTTTAGAAGAACTCGAACGAACAATGACCCTTTTAGCTTTTGAGGATAATAACCAATCACCGGTGGGTGACCTGCTCCACCCTGCACAACGACGGCGCACAGCACGTGAACTCAATGCAGCCATTCTCACATCGCAAAGTCAAGAAAAGGATCCCAAGCTACCGAGTCTGCTGAAAATGCTGGTTTGGGCACAGAATCAGTTAGACGACAAGATGTCATACCCGCGAATTAATAATTTGGCAACTGCCGAGCTGGTCGATAATGAAGACACCACCCTATGAAAAAAAATATCCCAATGTTTTATCGTTTTTTCGATATAGAGCAAGCTACACATACTTAATGATACAAAAAAAAAAAATAAAAAGAAAAAAAAACCCAAGCCAAGAGAACGGAGATCTTTATTAATATTTCTTTGCAGAGACATTATATGCGAAGGTAACAATAATTTGTAATGTAATAATAATTTGGATCATCAATATGTATATTAGAACTAAATTAAAATTGTAGACCGGTATCCATCTCAATTCAACTCGAGTGGCTATTTCCTTGCATTGGCAATATGACCGGTGTTTTCTTATGTGGGCGATTTAATAGCCGGGTGGGCAAAGAAAGGTTTAATGACATCTCCGGCATTGTATTACTAAAAGTCTCGTGAATCAATGGCGCGTATGTTGTGTTTCTGACCAAGTCATCACTTTCAGATACTATTTCATGACCCGCTCTTTTTAATCTGAGCAGACAATCCAAGGAATACAATCTCGTGAATCTTGCTTGCTCTCACAAGCAACCTATTCCATGGAGTTTTTTCGGGCCTAATCGGATGTCCTCAAATCCGATTTAGCTGGTGTTTGATATGGATTGTTTGTGGCAAACATGGTTCTTCTTTGGATGCTGGCAGATTTTAATGCTACGCGAATGCGAGAAGGCTATGGGAAACGGGCGACATATAAACTGCGAGCTAAATTAAATGACTTGGGAAAAAAGTATTCTAGCGACCCCTCAAATGAACGGAGGAATAACGATAGAAAATATTTTCCCTTCACAGACGCGTGTCGCACGAATAAGGTTAGATGACAGAACCAAGTTTCATCTTGTAAACAAGTAATATTAATATTGGTATGTCCATAAGCCATCAACACTGTATCTTTACTACAATTTTAATACGATGACGCGTACTGGATATGTCACATAAATTACGGTACGAATTAATGCCTTGCATATACAAAGCTACATGTTTCAAACTGCTGAAATGCCACAAATTGTATATAATACCATAACATTAAAGCAATCTCAATTCGTCTCGAGTCTGCATTTGTCATCACTACACGTAGCTTGTGAACATTATTATTAGCTTATGATGAATCGGCAAAGAATGCAGCAGTTATTTTTAACCTTAAAATTGGAACATGCATAGGAGAAAAAACTCAGTCTCAAAGTCATTGGGGTATCCCCGAGAATGCAAAAATGACAAACACTTTACAATCATAAACGTCCTTAGTTATCAATATACCAACTTTTTATTTCACGCTAAATTGTCACATTCTTTGATGAATTTTGATTAATTGGGAAGCTGTATAAAGAGCTTATTATACGATATGCAGTAAAAGAAACTTATTTCTTCGATAAAGTTTGTGTGGCTGTCCTATGAATTTCCGAGTCTATAAATGGAAATCACGAGACTGCGAATTTCCCAAGGTACTTGCATGGGAAACTTTTAACCTGTATTAAAACACACTTTTACGAATGGGAAAACTAAAATCCACATGTACGTGATACGGGATTGTCAATCCACCATTCAATGCTCGACGATAAGTTTTCTAACAAAGAAAGAAGAATTTTGCCTTTTCATATCAACATATTATCTACCGCATCTCTGATGATTCCATAATCGATGTTCGTACTATCTTGCCCTGCATTGGGGCAAACGTGTATCTGTCATTTACCGCGTGTCCGCGGATGCTTGCCAGACGATGCTCCATTAATGCGTCGTCACTAATTTCACACTGTATGTCCTTGAACATAGCAGCCAGCAACTTTGAGCGCACAAGCAAATGGTGACTTTCGATCACAGAGCAAGAGACAGATCTATACGTATGAAATACTTAAATGACAAGTGCCAAAATCTCTTTTTATGCATATGCCGTGTGACATGATTAAACTGTGCATGAAAATAATCATTAGTACGTGTAAAATGATACCTATCAAAAACGAAATCTCTTTTTTTTTTCTTCTTTTTTTTTTCTTTATGCATCTCATATTTTCATAGGGAAATGCTTCTTTGTTTCAGTCTTGATTAGAGTGGTAATTTTGGCATGTAATTGTTCAAACCTGTAATACCAAAGGCGATCACCGATAAGACCTGCTTTTATTCCTGTTCACAGCTTCAGCCAATCTACTAAATCTGTCCAATCAAATGACAAAGTAATTTTCATAAAACCCTTGCTTGTTCGTGTAGTGATGATTTTCTTCGGGTGACCCCTCATACACGAAAACCCCTTCCCCCCTCCTCCTCCTCTAAAAGACCATCTCCTTCGCTCAAGGCGTGTAGTCATTTCGTTCTTCCAAATTTCAGCCTGTGCACACTGCTCCTTATCAAGAATGGCATTATCCTTATCAAGCGATAGCGAAAGACTGATCCCGAAAGTTGAGAATGCCCTCGATTATGGAACGTTTAGGTGGACAGAGGGTCAGAACAGGAGCAAATTCCCGACTACACTGGTTTTGCCTAATAAAGCCAGTATGGCTAGAGATTGTTTATGTAAGCATGAAAAATTAAATTGCGTCATATAAACCATTACGCAAGAAAATTAATTCTCACCTTCCCAACAGCAATCGAACGCACATTCCTTTCATGGCTCCGCCTAAGTACAGCACTTACATTAACTGGACTTGCAGTGTTCTTTCGGTTTGCGCTAGTACCCGTTACAGCATCAGGGGATAGCCTGTCGGTTCCATTGGGCTTGGCACTGATCGTCTTGGGCATCTTTACTCTATTTTGGGCCCTGCATCAATACTTCAATTTCCAACATCTAATTGCAACACGTGCACCAATCGTTCAGAACGGAAAATGTAATTTTAGCGTAGCCCTCCTTGTTGGGCTATCGATTGTAACCACCCTATTAATCAGCTTCCCACTTGAGGTGTCTCGCCGAAATCGGCCGCATGTTGTCGAGGGAGATGGTATTCAGGTCTTTTTTATAAATTAAGAAATTATGGATTGTCGGAGCGGATTAATCTTTCGCCGACAAACTATCATAAGAGTTTTTTTTCCAACATTTTGTGGGCAGGAACCGCCTTTGTACATATATAGAATCGTATGGATCTAAATTAATTTGCGCTAAAAACCATCAAACTTTTCATTTGTGAATAAAAAACCACGTTGGTTTGTTTTAAGGAAATTGTGCGTTTTATTATCCGGAATTTACTGGGAATTCCTATTTTCACGTGATCAAAGTTCTATTACACGACATTCAATGTGATGTCATATGAAACTTTAAATTGGGGTCTGCGTTAGTTAGTATTAGTTACTAGTGTTCTCAATTCTATTTATACGCAAGGTTTATGAAACGTTCCACCCGATCTATATATAAGAATTCAGTGATAGTAAAAACCATTCATTACCAGACTCGACGTATTTGCACAATTTGACGGGTTCATCATGATCGACTCTTTTTGTACATGCAAATAGCGCAAGGCTTCGGACGGGACGGATAAAGTGACAGAATATATCATCTGCAATAAACATTGTGTCAACTACAGAAAAAGTAAACGGGTTTAAGCGTTTGCGAACAGCAAGTTATCGAGATTGTGAGTGTGGTTAATGCTAACTAATGTTAATATAGAAGCCCCTTCCCTCCCATCGCAACGCAAGTCTGTTCGCAAACACTTTTCCCCCACAACCGCCAAGTCCGTCCACAAACACAGTCATTCGCGACCCATTTGACACAATCGTTTGACTTTTGTAATTTTTTTCCTTTTTTTATTAATTTCCAAATTTTTTTGAATTTTGAAAAAATTAATAACAGAAAAAGAAGTTGGTAGAGATAAAACGGATAAATTTGGATATATAAATGTGTCGGATAGGTAATGGATAAAATGATATCAGGAAACAAAAAGAGAAAAAATAAAAAGAGAATTCAAATAGAAACAAAGAGGAAAAAAAAAGAGAAACAGAGACTATATACAATCACAAATACACGTTTTTTTTTTTTAAGAATTTTTCGGGTTTTAAAATTTTTTTGTGTTTTTTAAGTTACGGTTCTTTTCTTCTATATATGGGCCGTTCATTTATGATCCTTGGAAAATGCCAGGAAAACCCCAGCGACGTAAAAACGAACAAGTAAGCGAAAGTCTTTTTTGTTCGTCAAAGTGGGGGAAAGACGATATAGCGAAATAATCGGGTTTTACGAAGAACTCGGTTGACGAGAAATCGTATCGAAAACGAAAAGGAAAAAAAAAAAAAAGTACTAACGAAAGCGCATTATATATTCAATGCCAACCGCCAAAAGTAAAAATAATATCCAGCTATGAAACATGTTATAGAAAAATAATAATAACATAAATTAGAGCAAAAGAAGAGGGAAAACCTCCGCCTTCGAAATTCATAATAATAAAAAGCCATATTGGAAAGAATCATAATTGAAAAAGTTCATAAAATTCCTTAAAACGTATTATATAAATTCAGGGATTCAAGGGAGAATATAGTGAAATTATTACCGCCAATGTTCTTCTCAAGAAAGAGAAAAGAGAAAGGGACAATGTTCATTATGTCAGAAGTGAGGCCTTCTTCTTTGACTTGGCCTTTATAAGAGAGCATGCAGATTTCCTTTGTTGTAATAATTCATTTCATCGTCGCAGAGAGAGATAGAGATAGATACCACTCTTAATCCCAGAATCCTCCTCGATCGGTACACACGTTTCGTAGGAACAAGAAGCTTTTTCTTTTATGATTCAGTTCCATCTTGAATCCCGAAGGAAATAGACGGCCGAAATCGTAGGGCTGATGTATAGATTACATGTTTGCTGATGTATGGTCGGTGAAACGCGTACCATTCGCATAAATTGGCAGGTTATATATAAGAGAGGCCTGTTTCATTCGAGAGAGGACGATTGATTTATGCTGGGAATGCTGTACATGCTCGTTAGTCTGCAAAAGAGATTCGGCCGTGCGTTGTGTTCTTAGGAGAGGACAAAGAGCCGCCACGGAAGTTTTTGCATCTAGCCTTTAGACTTCTTTGTTGGAGGTTGGCGATCGAATTGGGAATGCTGGGAGGGGTATGTCTTCAATCATATGTGATCGATTGTGTAAAAGACAATCGCTTAATAGCATATATAATTCTTAAAAGTTTTCCTTTTTTTTTCTTTTTCCTTCCGTAGTCGATTACGTGAACAACCGAGTCCCGTGGATGACCGCGATATCGGAGGAAAAAAAAATAAAATACATAGATTGTCGGTTTATATATTATATTTTCGTAGGTGGTTTTGTATGTGACAACAACTGATTGATAATATAGAGAGCGAGGGGGGTTTTTGGTGGGGGTGGAGCAAAAAGTCCTTCGAGTAAAGTATGTCGATATAAGGCGCTACTCTCCCCTCGCTTTTAAAGTGCCAACGACGCGACGACGTATGATGAGATAACAGGTCGTGTATCATATCGAAAGTCATTAAAGCGTATTGAAATAAACGTGTGCGGTTTCTGAGTCACCACGAAAACTTGGCAATGTATAAGATAGATAGATAGATGATAAGGTTGTGGGAGGGGGAGATGATGGGAGAAAAAGGAAATTCAAAAAAAACCAACGAATTCCTCTTGAGTGGGGGAGGGGGGAGTAAACTGTAGAATATGCTCTGTACAGTAATAGCTCAGACGTTAGTTGGTTTCGCTATGACTCAGAAACCGCACACTAGAAAAATATGATAATGGGTGGATTTATCTCGAGAGTAATGGTGATGAGAAGGGTGGGAGAAGGGGAGTGGTGGTGAGGAAGCCAACGTTTTCCCTACATGATGACCCGAACAGATGATTAAGGGAATAATTATACGCTAGGAATCCTGAAGAGAAAAAAAAAAGACAAAAAGCGTTTCTTTTATATGTTGTGAGCGGTATAACGTAGAGAGGCCCAGACGGAGTGATATTTGCGTGATTATGTGATAAGTGAATTTCTTTTATATGCATATATAAAAATGCGTATAAAAACTGCAATACAACCGGAATGACCATTTATTGATTACACAAAACTTCCCCCAATCTACAAATCTGATATCTACCCCATTTCAGATTCTCTCGATCATGGGAAAAAAAAAAAGAAAGAAAGAAGATGAAACAGTACTCAGAGTGGTACAGAGTTACACAATTCTTCCTGTTCTACGATCAAGCCTGAATGTTGGCAAACAATTATTCTCATATACCCATTGTCCCCACAGTGAGCACTTGTGCAGCATTACTGTGGAGTAGAGATATATTGGGAAATGGTTATGTTGGGGAAACACGTCAAAGTGCATTGGTAATAAGTGGGGCGGGGTAAGACAAAGAAGAATAAGGGATAGGGAAAAAAAGAGAGAGGAAAAAAAAAAAGAATAACAAAGATAGAGCGGGGGTTAATAGGATAAGCAGTGTCGGCAGCAATGTCGGCAGCGGTAGCAGCGGTGCCAGCAGCCAGCAGCAAGCAGCAGCCAGCAGCAAGCAGCAAGCAGCAGTAACGTTTATTAGTAAAAACATGTTCTATATATGAAACGTTATATGTGTTTAAACTATTCATATTCCCGACACTTATCAACACCCCTGTGTACGGTACTGTATGCGCAACTGATATTACTCATATTATTTGTCGCACAAGTTTTGAGGTACAGTTTATCCATCTCTGTTGGCATAAAGAAAAAAAAAACCCTTGCATTCGTTAATTGATGAGTGTATCGATTAGCGATAACACAAATAACAATAATGTAACCTACTGTAATATCACAGTCGAGGCAGTAATAATGCTTAACCAGTTTCTGTGAGAAAATCTCGAAAAAAAAAAAAAAAACCTTGGCCTTCCCCCTCCCTCTCCCCGCCTCCACCTCCACACAAAATGAGTTAAAATTACAGTCCGTGTAATTGTATCCCAATGGTGATTGGTTCTCTTTCATAATTGCGAGTAAACTGCTATTATTTCATCTGAGATATATTCCGTTCATCTTTTCTGATTTCCAGTCGAGTAAACAATCAACCATTGTCAGCTGCACTCGTCAGTATGTGGAGACAAGGACAGTTGCCAGTCTTTGTTTGTTGAGAGAGAGGTTAGAGTTTTATGGCTGAATGCAGATAGTCTGCGCCTATGCGAGTAAGTACAGTTGTTATTGTCCAAACAATGTCCGAGTGTACGGTTTGATGGAGCGCCTCATTCCCTCCCATCATCATGAGACTGTGCTGTGCGATAAGTATGTGATGGGAATTGATGGGAAAGTGATTATTGCGAGGTTTCCACAATCAATGTTGATTAAGTGTCCAAGGGTAACATGTGATAAAGATAATAATGATGCTATTGTTGACATTATGTCCAACTTCAATGCATGCACCGGTATACAAAAATATCAACTGCTGCGCGGGGGTTCCGATTAGGTGGTATTACAATATGATGCTTCACATGATACGAGTCTTGTACGTAATTATATAATATCAAATATTGACATGTCACTTCGAACTGCAACATCACACAAATCTTGTTGTTTGAACATCATCTCCCCTTTTGATTTCTTTCATGTTATTACTGTTAGACCCAGTTCTCGTTATCTTTCTGATCCTTCCCTTTACTGTATCAGGTTCATATTATATTTTATTTCGTGGGGTAAAGAAAAAAAAAAAAAAAGAAGGTTTCATTGCTTGACATATTGACAGATGTCAGCTCTGACAGTCGATCTACATTATAATGTTGATAATCGGACCGTAATATTAACGATGATGCAGTTATTATTATAGTTAAATAGATTACGTGATTAGAACAA